GGGCCGCGCCAGCCCCACGGCCGAGCCGCGGCTCCCGCACGCTCCGTCCTGCCGCTCGTGGGGCGGCCGTTACTGTGAGAATTGAACTCGATAAAACGCCAAAGCCTTTCCCGTTACGGATGGGCTCAGCGCACCACCGCTGCGTGCTCCGTTCAGTCCCCGTGGCCCTCGGTGCAAGATAATGCTGAAGAAGTTCCTTTGAAAGAATTGCGTTCGTACACTTCAGTTTTCAGACGGGATTACACACTTGTGCAACCCAGACAAGCCCTTGCCGTGCTGAGAGATGTTGGGGGTTTGGTCATTAACTGCAGAACTGCTGAGATGCTACAGTAACCGCGGCAGATTTTTTTAAAATATTAACCTCTTTGAGTTGCTTCCTCCTTTGAAAGCTTTGCTGTTTTCCAGCATTCCAGTTTGATTTTGTTTTTAAACAAGGCTGTAGTATTTACAGAGTGGTAACAGTGGGAAGTCAGATACCAAATAAATTAAGCTCTATTCTAAAACAAACAAAACGACACAAAGAACAACAACGCAGCCCTTGTTAAAGTGTGTTCCATCTGTTACCACCATACAAGCAGGCCTGTATGCACCCCAGTGCTGCAGCCAGAACTTCAGCCATTCATTTAGCCCACACTTTCGTTAACTTACTGTACCTATGAGCATTCAAAACCTGCAACTGATACTCCAAGAAATGGAAACATAGGTAATATAAAATAATTTATTCACATAATTTACATACAGGGTATGACTACTTTCTTTGAAACAGAAAGCTTATATGCGATGATAGAGGGTGTCAGACAACTAAGCAAAGCAGTCTTATGCCACATCTTTGTAAAAATGCTAAACTAATAGGCACTGAGATTTCACCGATCTTTTTTTACATCCTTCACCATTATAAAACTTTCATACACAAAACAGACCACAAAGTTGTCTTATCTTTATTCAAATTAAATTCGTTCTTTAAAAAAAAAAAAAAAATCCTCTAACAAAGTGCATGTGATTTACTGCAGGGGAAAAAAAATGTGTAGCCCCAATTAACAAGGTAGATAAGGCACCTTAAATTTTAGTAATGAAATAGTTATGGGCTTTTTTCCCTTGTAATATGAATGAAAGCTAAAATGTACGCAACTAAATGTAGAATGGTTATCATCTCAGAAAGTACTTAGGGCAATTATTTTATAGCCACTCCCCACAAATCTATTTTTAGGCTCTATCAGTGCAAGTGATTTAAACATGCCACATGTATCAGGAACTAAACACTTGCATACATAAAATAATATCTACAAGATATACAATACATGGAGCTTTATGTATAGATTAATCTATTTCATAATGTTTACAGTAAGACAATATTTAGATAAACATTTCAAGTTAAATGGATTAGGCAGAGCACAAGATACTGTCTGAACAGAAACTTGTTGTTTGGGTGGGGTTTTTTGGGGGGAAGGGGGGAGGGGAGAGAGGGCTTGACAGTATGCTTTCAAGTAAGTTACTTTACACTGGGACTGTTAGCCCCTTTTCCATCACCTCAAAAAGATACTGCTGCTAGTGACATTTGATTGACAGAGACCTGATAACGTAGCAATTTGCAGTAACAGTAGCTTTCCTGTGTATTTTTCCTTATTGACAAAATTTTAAAGGCTCCATCAGAAGCCTTGCAAATAACTTCTGAAAAGGCAAACATTCTCAAACTTCATCAGGTATTTCAAAATTAACTAGATTCTTATATGAAAATATCTGCCAGTAAATGATTATCCAGTCCAAAGCTGAAGATAGGTTTCTTGAGAGCATAACAATACCATTTAAACATCAGTTTCACTTTCATAACAAATCATTATTATAAATAAATCAGGACAAAAATTTAGACTACTTAAATCTACAGACTCATTTTTGTGTAATACGGAGTTTCAGAATAAATACTGAATCTTTCAGTGACCACCTGACTTTGAGACTGCATGAACCTTGTTACCTCATCAAGACAATCTTCTTGATGAGGCAAGTAAAAAATTAGACTAAAATCTAAAGCTACACCAGCATTTTATGGCAAGTTACAGTACAAATAGACATGCAACATGAGGAAAACCATTCAAATTCAACTGCTTCAAAGTAGCAAATCCTCAAAGCAACCACATTGTATAGTCGTGGTTTAAATCCAATCTCTTTGTGCGACTTTTTGCACAAGGGAGACCAAGGAAGTCAGCAGAGACACAAACACTTACATGTAAAACCAAGGAAAAGAAACAGTATCTATCCTCTTGTTTTCAAATTTGGAAGGAAATTAGCATTTGTACTAATAAACATTAACCTCTTCCTCCCACTCCAATAGGACAGTTGCAAAGATTAACATTGTGTAGCATCTTTTAGGAAATTGTGTTTTTTGGGTTGTTGTCAATATGTTATTAAGGAGCTAAACCCATTTGGCTTTTAATTTATGTAATTCAAAAGTCTTACAAAAATACATCATTTGGAGATGCTAATAAAAATACCTGCAGTGCTGAACATATCTATGTATTTACTACCCTACTTCCAGTATTTGCCTCCTGATCTACAGAGATTACACTATACATAAAAGTATCGTTCCTCCTTCTAACACACTAACGTAACATACTTCACAAAAAGAAGTCAAGAACTTGTATAACCAGTACCACAAGCTTTAGCATTAAAATTCAAAGGGATATTTGTCACAAGATTAAGCATTTTTCCATTGCACTTTTCTGGAAGATAGTCATGCACCCATTATCAGTATCGAAACAAGTGAAACTATAAGCCAGCAGCTGCTGGTCTGGTCCAATGACATCAATGTAGTGGTTTAGATGTCAACATTTTAAAAGTATCCAGGTCACTTTAGAAGGAATCCATTTCATCTGTATGGAATTTATTAAAAACAGCTTGGCTGACAGTAAGTGTGGCATAGTGAACATCAGAATAAATCAGAACTTTTAAAAAATACTCTTTTCTTGTTGCATTTTACTCTCGGATCCCAGTTTTTATAAAGCCAATTTGCTATTCTGAATCATCCACTTCCATAAAGATGTCACTGAAAAAATACTCAGAGATTCTGGTTGGCTCTTCTTCCTTCTCTTGATCTTTAGCACGAAGGGGTGGCTTCTCAGATGGCTCATTACTTGGAACCTAATAGAAAAAGAAAAGGCTGCTCTTAAGTTTTAATCTGTTTGTGTGTGTGAGTATACATGTGTGTGTGTGTGTATATATATATGCACTTGAGCTTCCAATTTAGATAGGAATTTTAGACTAAAAATTCAGAGTTTACTGAAAATGGGAAACAAGTAGATACACGTGCAGAGAAAAAACAACTTAGTTTCCTTACAAGTTTCCTAGACATGCACAAGTCAGGATTTATTCACTGGAGCAGATCTCTCTCTCAAAACATGAACACTACATACCCACCTACCCATTCCTGAAACAACTAATTCACTGTTCTTCACATCTCAGAAATGCAAGGGCATTCAAAAGTAAACACATACCACAACTGCAGCAGCAGTAGCTACATTCTCGTACTCCGCAGATGATGATGTGCTTGTAGAAGGAAGGGAACAAGATTCCTTATCATCCCTAGTGGATGGAATGGGGTTTTTTAGACTTCGCTTTGGAGTTGCAATCCGAGGTTTTTGGATCTTCCCTTTATTCCCTTTGGTATCTTCTGCAGATTCAGAACTACTTTTTTTGCAAATTAAAGATAAAAATCCCAACGGTTTTCGTCCACCCCTGTTCAAAACAAATACAGTCAGGATGTCATAGGATTGCTCCATAAAAGGAAGATGTAAATAGTATTACAGAAGTCCAATCCATTACACAGCAAACAAACACATGCCTCCAAGATCTATGAAAATTCCAAGAAAAAAAACCAAAAAGTCATTCTGAGAAAGGCTTCTGTATTACTGAATATTCTGGCACAAGAGTTTTTCCAGAGACTCCTGACAATCGTCCAACCCTGAGAACAGAAACCTACTCTTTGCTACTAAACCAGAGCCTGTAACAAGCTACCAGATCTTCAGAAAGAAATTCTGAGAGGAATGGTGACATACTCCTAAAGAACGAACTGAAAAAAGTATCCTTCATGTAATCAATAATAAAAGAAACCTGATTCCCAAGGATGGGGCCACAGCAGACTGTCTTAAACACCAGAAAGAAGACTATCTGCTGCAGGTTTCAGCCTATTAACAGCATCGTACTTAGTACCAGTGAACTTTCAGTAGTCACAGTGATGAGGGAGGTACAGAGAGTATCAACTTTTCATGTTGTTCATGTTTACAACTTAGAAGGTAAACTTTAAGGCAGGGATTCTGATGTTAATGGATCATTACCCAATTGCTGTGGATGTCCCAGGCACAAATAACCAGTTTTGCTACTCACACAAGCATAATGAAAGAATAAATGACAGGATCAGAAGAGACCAGTGGAGCACCACAGTCAAAATCAGTGAACGCAAGAGCAATAAACAGCAGGAACTCAAACACTTAAACATTATAGAAACGTATTTTAAAAAATCCACAGTCAAATGGATAGATAAGAGGAATATCCTCTGAGCTGTCCAGACTGAAACTCCTTTGGGGAAATGACACATCTAGTCCTAAAAATCCAGTGTGCCGAGTACTATACCAGTAGCAAATCTTATTAGCAGAAGGACAAAAATCAAAACAAGTGGATGGGTGTATATATCACAACATTAGACTGAGCTAAGGAAAATAAAAATTATCCTATATCCATATCATAGCCAACGGGTGTCTGCCTGACAAGAGGCATCTGTCAGTGTCTAAATAGAAATACCATATGTCAGTAGTGTCCCTTGGTCAATCTGCTCATTTAATGAATAAAATAATTCAAATTTCAAAGCAGACAGTTTGATCCTTTCTAATTTGCTGAAGAGGATAGATACTGTAACTCTTAGCCATGTAGGTCACAAACAATCGTACTGCCCTTCTTGTGATACGAAGTGGAAAAAGCATATAAAAACCTCAATAAGGAAACAAGACCTTTTTTACAAAAAAGGCTTACAAAACATTATTGCATAAATACCTGAGTAATGGAGTTTTTGAAGATGATGCTAGGCTTCCAGTATGTTCTAACTGTGCAGATTCATGCACATCCCTCTGCTTTCCTTGTCCACTTATTTCTGCTTTTCTGTTAGAGGTTAATCTGGACATCACCTCCTCTTCCTGTTTGGGTGCTGAATTCTCAAGTGGTGCTTTCCCTAAGTTCTCCAAAGTCTCAAGCTGGCTTCTCTCAGCCAGTGGTGACATAGACTCAGACACCAACACAGAGGTAAATACTTTTTCCTTTGCTGAAGCCTCTGTTTTTTGAAAAGGATTCCCTGTAAAACAAGTTGAGAGTCATTCAAGGACTTCAGTTACTTAACTTCAGTGATAACACAACAGCCCAAAAGACTCGTGTGATATTAAGATGGCTTGCACCATTACAGGAGAAGGGCTGAATTTTTGTTCAGTTTTTTTGTCATTTTATTCTTTGAAGTCACAACTAAGAATTAAAAGTTCACAGTCTACTTTTAAAGTCTGCAAGATCTTACAGATGTTACGGGGGAAAGCTGGAAAAGCTGGTAAAAAAGTGTGGTTTTACAGCACACACACACCCCGCTCCTTCACAGCACACCATAGACTTTAGTCAAGTCATCTAGCTGTTTAAGCTTCCACAATTTCCCTTTAAAGTCTTTTTCAAGGCCAAAAAGTAGTTCTCCAAACCCTTCACAAGCTCAGATCACTGAAGATTGCATTATCAGCAATTCTGCTTTCCCTCCAGAGGCAGATTAAGCTTTCAAACAATTACATTGTGCGTATATTTTAAAAGACACATACAAAATAAAATAAAAATAAATTATTTTGGCATAGTATGGTTAAAATACCAGTTAATACCTTTGGTTATTAGCGCTCTCCACCAGGTGGAAATATTTGCTTAAGAGAAGATACCATGTTGAGTCCAAAAGCCTCCCAAATTTCACAAATTGCTACAGCAATGTTTTTAGAACCATTATTAAATTAACAACCAGTTATGTAATCCAATGCATCTAATTTATAGCAGAAAACACAGAATGGTGGTATTAGGGTATTACCAGAAAAATTTGTTTCTACTTTTAAGTTAGATAGCCTCCAACAGCACTATTTAGCAAAATGACAACCAGTATTAAACTGTGATGTATTATGTATTTACATTCATTATACTTTGTTTCACAAGTTTAAGTTTACCTACCAGAAGCTATCATTGGAGCATTTGTGGATTTAATTGAATAACCCTGTATTTAGAAAAGAAAAAAAGAAGTTATTTCTCTATTTCTCTCAATCTGGAAGAGACAATGAAAGTTGATAAAGTCATATCATGCATGTACAGTTCTAAGAACAGCAGTGATACAAAAGACTACACCTTCAGTACAGTATCATTCATCACTTAACTTATGTCCTGAGCAGGCTTTTCAAGGTGTTCTTATGACAAATGACTCAAGACAAGGATGTCAAGATGAAAGGTCAAAGAAGGAAGAGGATTATTATCCAGTCCTTCCTAGAAAAGCTCTCTGAATCATGTGGGGAATTATCACCCATCCCCTCACCCAGACACTACACAATCTTAGCCTACTCACAAAAATGAATGGTAGTCACTGCCACAAGCTTGGTCATATTCTAAAAGCACAGAGGGAAGCTGGAAACATGCTGGCCAGTTTTTATTTGCAGCTTGTTCTTTTAAACTAATCCCCGCGATGTCAAAAAATGGTAGGAACATATCTAACAACTTCTTCATGTAACAGACACCAGGAGGAATCATAACATAGTTCAGTGAACCTAGATACTCTGCCAGTCATCCAATATACTTCCAGAGTTTCCCCTCCTGCAATGTCATTGTCGGAAAGGCTGTGGTGAATGAACCAAATAAGACATTACCAGTCTGCCTACTAGGAAGTCTAATAAAAAGGCCCGAGAGCCTACAGATTCTCCAAAAAATTAATACTAAATCAACAGCCCAAAAACTGTTGTAGAGTTCAAAATAAAAAGCAACATATGGGTGTTGATTTTCCTTTTAAGTTGTACAGGCAGTACATTTTTAAGCAAGTGACACCGTTAACAATAAACATAATTAAAATGCTCTATTACGTGTTATGCGTCTACACTATGCATAAAGACTCACTTACCAAATTACCATCTCACCTTATAAGTGGTTTCCAAGTTACCTTCCACTACAACAGTAGACAGAGCTTTCTTGGCAGGAGGAATATCATTCTCTTCAAGCTCAGCAGCTGACCTTTTTTGAGATGTCTGCAAATTTGGAATGGGCTCTACTGATGCACTCTTTAGTTGTTTGGCTTCCATACTGCTGTTTAAAGGTCCAGCAAATTCATTAGCTGCAGTTGTCAAGGATCCAATGCTGTTTATATATAAAGTCATTATTGTGACTGTACAAGAAGCCAAAATTTACCTTGTATAACATTTCTGTATGGAAATTACAGATGGTTCTATGGTGATACTCTTTCTTGCTTAATGTCAATATTAACTTCAAATGTACTATTTACTACCAAGAAACATTTTGTTGCACTATCTTTAGTTAAAGAATCGAGTTTTTCTAGTCATAATTGAATCTAGTTACTTTAGAAGCTGTTTTATTTGAAATCCACTTCGTATTTTCATAAAATGTAAAAATATTTCAACTGATTAACTGCCCTAGAAAGTCCTAAAACATAGTATTATTTATATGCACAGCGGAATCTTCATCCCCATGGCCGCACACCCTTCCATCCCACGCCCCCTCTGCCCCGCATAATCTCAAAAGACAGCAAGACATCTAGGGAAGCAGCAGTGACTAGGGAAATAGGGTAAAGCAGTAAGGGACAGGGAGACAGAAGATGTATTTAATGCTGCCTGTCAGCAATTCTCTCTATCATCAGTAGTTCCACAGGAGTTAGAATTCTTACATTGTGTAGCCAAAATTCATTGTGTAGCCAAAATTCACTCAAAGACCTATCCTTTCAATAACCCTTTCAAACCCTTTTCAATCCCTTCCAAGACCCCCTTTCAATAAGGGAATGACATTAACATCTAATGTCACAGGGCAAGGTCCTCCACGATGATGTGGAATTGTATCACACCTCTAGTTACGGATGTGACAGGGCAAGGTCCTCCACGATTATGTGGAATTGTATCACACCTCTAGTTACGATCTGAGGACTTACATTAATATAGTAATAGGTTTTTTTTACAACTTTGCAACACTTCCTATTCTTCAGAATGTCTTTTTCCTTTGATGTTGGGTTTTTTCCTCCCAAACTGACCATGAGGTTTAGTTCAAGTGTAATGCTGAAATAACAATTTTGTTACATTGCATTGAGGAGTACTCCTTGTAAAAGAAACTCAAACCATTTGTATCGTATCAACAGCTATTACTCTGTTGAGTAATTCATTTGTTTGCTTTTTCAACTCTTCTGTCTTTTGAACATGGCACAAACTCAAGAGAATGATATCTGATTTCTGTCCACTGTTTATCGTGTTCTCCAGAAGACCATCTACACTAAAAAATTGGAAGAGCAATTAATAAACAGCTACTTTACAAAACTGTTAAAGTACTGTAAAAATGCAAACATGCTTAGATTTTTCATTTCAATTACTTTTAAATCTAAGTATCCATGGCAGAATAGACTCAGGCTGGACAAATGACTTCTAGTAAAAAAGACGACTTGCTCTAAAGCATAGATCAGAATTAAGGTTGACACCAAAATCCCAGCTAACTAAAACACTAACTTTAAACCACTGATGAGATCTTTCTCAAAGCTGATTAGAGCCCTTTTCACTTTCTTAATTCTCTGACCATCTGCGAAAATTATTTCCTCTTGCATTTCTTCTTTTGAGAAGTTCTAATCTGTAATGTACATTCAGGGAACAACCAAGGTTCACAAAAAGTGTTTCACTTTGTTCGAAAGAAAAGCATTTACCTCTCTACTTCAGTCGTGCCTGTTTCACCTGCATTTATTGGGCTGATAAGTATTGGGGCTGGTAGTAATGGTTCTGAAGTTTGTTCCAGCAAAGCAGATGCATCAAACTCTTTTGAATCAGCTGGGATTTCCACCAACGTTAAAATGAATGTCTGTTCCTCCTCTGGACATCTATGATCATCATTCACTACTATAATTTTTTCAGGGAAATAAAGAAATTACAAAAATCTGTTATTCAAGTTTGAAATTACACTGTTCTCTTCATGCCCTCCCTACCTTGAGTAATTAAATTTTAGGCACTCATTTCTCCATAGAAAAAGGCACTGGGGATATTCTGGAGACAATATGCTTCCTTTTTTCTTAGATGAGATACACATCGTCACCCCCTGGAGCCTATTCATTGCAGTGGAGTCCTGATTACCATTCAGAATGAAGAATACTAAAAATGCCTAGTAGGGATGGAGCTTTTTAAATGGGTGTTCTAGCATTAAAGAACAATTTGCAGTTTAATTAAACTTGTGTAATGGTGGTCAAACGGCCCTCTGTCTTTAATTGCAACTGTCAGTTAAGAGTTACTTCCTTTAAATGGCAGGAGTCTGGAGTTTTGACAGTAAACACAAGGATTTTTCCCCTCACTGCAGACTTGCAGAAGAGGACCTGAGAAGTATAGTCTTGAATTTAATAAATGAAAAATATAAATAATTTAGTCAACAGATGGACATTAACAGGTAACTGCCAACTGCCATCTGTTAGAATGAATTTAAGGAGAGAACACGTGCAAAGTTTTCAAAAGATGGAAAACAACAGTGCTGCTCCATTATTTAAGAGAGCTCTCATTCTTGATGTAAAGCTGCTGTTATTCCAACCTCCACTCACTTTGGTTCTTCATCTAATTATAGATGATTTAAGATGCTCCATGCCAAGATCCTTGCAATAACAGAGCGTAACAACAGATGTCTAAGAAGAAGTATTAGCCCTATCTTTTGCACATGCTCAGGAGTTACAACTTTGGACTGCAGTTTCCATGTAAAGTAAGTATTCTGGGCTTCTGACAGTGATTTTCCCATACCTTAGACAAGTATTGGTTCCAAACCAGCTCCATTTCAATTTGTTTTAGGGAAAAGCAGCCATCACCTTCATACCTTTCATCACATCTAATCAGTTAGGAGTTTACCTGCTGACTCAGTACAGCTGAAGAGGGAAGTCTGGTTGTTTTCTTCCTTTTTCTTCCCCTCTTCTCCTTTCTCCCCTGCTCTACGCTTGCACAGTCCGGCCCTCCGGCTCACACAGCTCTGACACTGGCATTCACTTGACAACTTCATGAGCCACTATAGCTCATTAAACCAGTGGAAAACTACACAGGTTCTCTCCCTCTGCCCTGTTCAATTTTTGATGGATAAGTGAGTCAGAGGCTCATAAAGTGCTCTAACAACTGCTGAAAAGCAGGAGCTCACAGTGGGGAGGAGAGCGCAAGAAGTTTCCCTTCCACTGATACTTAAACTTAATGAAGTGCCATTCAAAAAGTTCCCAGGTCTAGTTTGTGTTAATGAAATGTAATGATAAAAGGCTAGGGAGGGGAATGGCACTGTGCTGTGGGTCATTATTTTTGCTAATGAAATAGATTAATCAATAATGTCAATGAAAACATTTTACAATCTTTTTATTCATCTTTGCGTGACCGCAAGATACACAAGTGTGGGCTTTTGCTAACTTAGGATAATAGCACACTATACCTGAAGTCTCTTCTGTGTTGCTTATGCATTGTTGTTGAGAATCCTGAGCATAAGCTTCCTTCTAGAAATAACACATTTGAAATAAAGCAAGTTAATAAATCTGAGAAATAACTCTCAAAAACAGGAAAGAAACAAAGCATGTCAAATGCTGAAGAGCCAAAAAAATCAATGACATCATCATAATTGCATTTGGTCAGCTTTTACTTCTAGCTATTATAGGTTGAAGGATATTAGCCTGACAAGGACAAGAAACACTTGGGCAATATAAAATTTACATGCAGCTCATTGTCTGTATTGATGGTTTGTCAAAATAAATTTATACTTTCTACTGCACAACTCTGTCAGAGATGACTCACGTAATAAATTGCTCAGTGGCACTAAGAACACAAATTCCCCCAAACAATAGAAAACCACTGAGTGCCAAAGAAAAATACCAAGCTCTGCAATTCATATATCCCTTCCCTTTTATGGTATGTACCTTCACTAAAAACAGGAATGCTCCACTGCAAGTTGCCCCTTCTCACACACTCTGCCAGTCCTGTAAGAGCCAAATCATTCTTGTACCTTGTTCTAACATGAGATCAGCCTTGACACATCAATGGGTTGCACTAGGGAAATGAGCTACTACCCATCAACTGTTCCACTGTAACTGCATGTACATTGATTTCAGGCAACACCAGAAAACCTGAGGGTACTGAGGATGAACCTTTCTCTCATGAAGAAATAAGGTACTTCTTGTTTATATTAGAACAGGGATACACAAACCACTGCCAAGAAATGGACGTGAAAGACATACTGTTTGTCCATGATAATATACATGTAAACCTCTTCATTGGGATTTGAAATAAATGGGAAAGAAGTTTGTTTTAAACAAAGCAAATGAAGGTGACAATGAAAATGCTGCGTCCAGCAGTGCCACTTTAACTTAATTTTAATTTAAACAAATATATCAGTAAGAGGTCAGACTGAAGGAATGTATGAGTCCCAGGTAACTTCTTCCATCAAAACTCTTTAAAGAAATTGCTCAAAATTTTGCTAATATATTTGTCACTTATTGCTGAAATGCAATAAACTGAAGCTTGTCTGAAAGACTAAGTTTGGTTATGCCTTTGCAAAAAAGAGTTTCATTCACCAGCTGAAGTACCAGGTCTTTAAATTGGGTGAGTACATTTGCACTGAAAACCTCTTCCTTAACAGAATTTCAGGAACTGGGCACTTCTAGACTGTAATTAAATTAATTTGCTTACCTGAGTAAAGTTGATTGTGCATAAATTGTGCTCAGGAGGACAAGAATTTTGCTCAGGAAGTACATCCACAGAATTTTGATTTGGATAATCCTCTAGTCCAAGGTGAGATTTTTCAGGTTTTGGTGATGCAGTTACAGGTCTTAAATCTCCTGAATTTCCACAAGCATCTCTCATCTCTGTTCTGTAAAGTACATATCTGGTTAATATGAAACCAATTGAAGATACCCTGTGCATAGGGTAAATTCTGTATAATTATTTATTTAATATGAAGCTTATGTAATTACAAAGAAACAGGGCACCTGTTTAAAAAATACATCCTTCTACTAAACAAAATGCATAATCTTTGAACAAGTCTACATAAAGTATTTCAGAAAAAAGCCTCCCTAATACCACTAATTGAGACTTTACTCCTAAAAGCATGGCCGAGCAGGAAGCCTTACAAGCTCCTTAACATTTCCAAATTGATCAACTCCTTAACACTTCCTTTCAGACGCAGTTTCGTGGGAGAGAATTAAGCAGCAAGGTAATTTCTAAGTTCTGAAACACCAAATGTAAGTTAATGTTTTACCTTCAAAAGCTGTAGGACAACATGCAAGACAGAAAAACCTTAAAAATAAAAGTCTAAACTGTACATTTATGTCCATAAACACAGACAGTATCTGTAAGCACACTGTGGCCATCACAGATGCATTTTACATATGCACTTCAGCTGCATATTTTAACAGACTTTAGGAATAAAGTCAATACTAACTGATGATTCTTCCTACCTCTCAGTTTTGTCTACTTGCTTGATAAGTTCCACACTTGTAGTTGCAAAATCATGAAGAACTGAAGAATCACCTGCAGCTGGTCTGACTTGTTCTAGTTCCACCTTCTGCATTTCTGCAGTACCTCTCAGGGTTGTAGACTCTAAGATATATAAGAATAAAAATTAAAATAATTTTTTGTGTGTGTTCATGTGTGTATATATATATGCATATTATTTTACATATAAGCTTTTGTATATTAAAGTGTATATATATGTAGATATGTATATATAAACACACTACAAAATTATCAACAATTTTGCTGTATATGTACACATGTATGTGTATATATAAATGAGACATACACATATATCTCATTTTGCCTTTGGTATGTTGTGCATTTTGCCAGATATGAAGATAATTAAGAGTTTGAAGACCACCTTTTTTTGCAACTACTTTAAGAATACCAAAACATTTCTGTCTATCTCCCCTTCTGGTTTTAATAGAAGCGAAAGACAGTAATAAAGAAAAAAGTACACTGTATTGAACTATATTTCTGTAATCGGCAGTCCAGTAATTTAAGGGTTTTCCAGGTAATTTAAGACCTGCACAGAAAAACTGCTATTCAGATTTCATTTAATTTTATACTGAAAGGTACACTTATGTATAAAACCACACCATAAATGGATGCCCTACGTTACATCTGTGAACATGAAGAGAAAGTGAAGGCTACTTTCAGCTTAGTTTCATTTCATAAAGCGATGTGAATCCACCAGAAGAAACGATTTTCAGAACCCTAGGATGATAAAAAACAGGCTTACCACTTTGAACTTGCTTTAGTTGTTCCACAAGTGCATTTGTATTGAGTGACTTCTGAATTATGTTTTCACTGGACCTCAATACTCCAAAGTCTGGCTCAGGCTTCAGGAGTTTGCCTCTTGTCCGTCTCATACTATTCACTGTAGGCAAAGAGCTATCACTGCCAATAAAAAGGAAAAATGCCATCAATGCAGTTCTTGATTTTTTTCAGTTAGTTGTGAGATGAAATTAGTATTTCCAGCAATGATCATTATGCAGAGAAGATATAAAAGAGATGGAGCAGATGAGATGAAGAGCTGAAATACAGGCTGCAGCTGGTGGAGGAGATAGAAGACTATCTGGCAGAACAAAAAATAACTATCATCTGGGAATTGGAACAGGCAGATATACTGCAAACTAGGACATTCCCTACCTACAGAAAAAAAAAGAATAATTGAAATATTTAAAAAACATGAGAAGATCAGAAATCTAACACTGATCACATGGTAGTAAGTTCTGGTTAATCATATAATAAAAGAACCACTGGACTTAAAGTAAAGTATCTTTGACTATAATTTTTCAGAGGAGTATAATCTGATAGTTTGTCAAGCAATCGACAAGTTAAATAGTCTTTCAAATAATACAACATGATCACCAGCAGATTTTTTTCTAAAAAATGTTCCATCCAGCTGTTTCAACAGTCACAAATAGTTGAACAAAATCAAAAAAGTATAAAGCATTAAAAGCCATAATCATAGAAGATCAACCAATTCCTTAACATCCCTTTACTCTAAATCTTTGATCTACATCCCACAGCAGCAGTGACACTTAAGCAATTTGTCTTGGCCTGATCAGCTGTAAAGTACACTTGGTAATTAACAGTGATCCGTACCAACTAAGTTCGAATATTTTTTCTCCCCCACCAGAGTAAACTTAACTTCAGGAGTGAAGAACAAGTTCTAAATCCCCAAAATTATATAACAATGTCTCATAAAAGTCGTAAGAAAGAGACAAGAGGGGTTTGCCAGACTAGGTACCAAATTACATAAACTGAGAAACTTTTGCTAAAGCAAGACTGCTTGCAATTCAATAAAAATGCCAGAAAGAACCTAGCAAAAGTAAGCAGTGTCAGAGGATATCTCTCCCTAAAGAAAATGAAGTGGTAATTTAACCTGGTATCTGTAGCATTTTTCTCAAAATATTCTTCAACACCTATTCCTGTGCCAATGCTTTGATCCTCTACACCAATGTTGCTTCCATCATCAGAAGGGACCAATTCCTTGGTAGAAGCGTCTGAAGAAAGTAAATACTGACTAGGAGTTCTATTTTGTTTGGAGTAGGCATGGGTTACAAGGCTATTGGCCATGTCCAACTCATCTTGAGCAGGTAACATGTGTGTCCATTCTGGTTAAAACAATAAACAGAATAGAAAAGCATAATTTAAAAGACTCAGGTTTGGCATGTACAGAAAGCTATTTTACAGATGTTCAACTTCAAACCTCATTTAACAAAGTCTGCATTCTCCAAAGATGCAAACTCAAATCCCAGGTAAATGCAGTCCTAAGATCACACTTTTGGTAGTAAGAATGCAGAAACTAACATTCAACCAATGAAAGCAGATAATAAATTCTAAATAGAAGTCTATCAAAAAGTAGACTAAAACCAGGTAATTTCAGGTTGCAGCTAGTTAGGCAGAAAAAGCTATGCTTCAGGTTAAAGGCCTGAAAAGACCACTGATAGTTATGGTCATTTAAGCCTGATTCCTTTCTTTTGTCCAATTTATCTGACCAGACTAATTCAAACATGTCCTTCCTAAAACAGGTCTCAGAAACACCTTTCTAGCACAGTGATGCAGTTGACAGTATCCAGTAAGGTGCCTTACTTTTTCCAGTCAAACTGCATTGCCTAGTCTCACTATGCATTACAATTCAG